CTACACGACATTACGCCGATGGAACGGCGAATGGTTGATTGGTCTGGTCGTCGCGAACGACTTTCATCCGACAGACCTCGCCTCTCAAGGATGGAGTCTATTTCGAGCATTCTCAATGAAAATCGATGCCGAGTTTGTATCAGGGAATGTGGAAAACGGGGATTAAGGCTGTGTCAAGATTTCGACGTTAGCGAAACTCGGTTCCCGGAGCGGAGTGGTCCACGACCAGAGAAAATCAACGATCGCGAGGGGTGGTCGCGCGGGATTTTCGTTCATTCGGGAATCGGTAGACGCGCGTGATTCGAGAAAGTACCCATCGAGTAGAGTACCGAGCGTAGAGTAATTTCGATACCGCGAGAGCTTATTACCGAACACCTATTACCGACATCGTCATTATCGGATACCCTGCGCAATATCCGGCAGCGATAATTATAGATATATCAGATACACGTGACGAACAATGCGACGCGAACGTACGAGTTATCGGCTGCCATTCGACTTTGAGATCCCTGCCAGTAGTATCGACGCGTCGCTAGTCAGACTCGTTAACGCGATAAACCCCCTGTGGCGGGCGTCTTTATTGAGATTTTTGCTGGAACCCTGTGGGCGTAATCCGGGTCATTAACGAATAACGATGTTCCCGAAATCCATAAGCCCTGGCGGTTTATCGCCGGCGTAACGTTTCCCAATCGACGATTAACGAACCGCTATCGACGATTATGTGTATCGATGTCCCTCGGTACGAGCAGTGGCGGCTCAGCTGCGTCCGCTTCGCCCCGTTGCGCGCCATGTTTTCGTCGCGCCGATCAAACTTCCCCGTCTGCGGAGTAATCGCATTAGCGGCTGTCAACTTCTTCGAAGAATCACCCTGTATAGCAGTAAATTAACCGGCAAAGGACAAACACCGGGCGAGTTACGCGCGACGCACGACTCCTCCGATTGGCAACAACAGCCATCGATTTCGGCCACTCGTCCGGTTTGATCGAGCACGCGATTACTTCGAGGTGCATACGCGCCAGTGGCAAACGAATGGCCAGGGTAATCGAATACGCGCGTGTATATTATAACCTCGAAACCGTTCGACGTCGACTTCGTTGCCAGGCGCTCGATGCTTGAGTTTCGCGCTGACGGGTGTCCCCGCGCGCGTATACTCGCCTAACGTCGGAATCGCGAGAATATTCTTATCCGGCGAGGCAGGCACGGCGTTTCCCCGTCATGCACGCAAGCGTTTTCCGTTTCGGCGTCGCGACGCGGCGATATTTCGTCGGGCACGATGTTTGCTCGCTTCCCGTCGCGTTTATCGGTCGCACGTTATGCTGAGCGCGACGAGCTTTATGGCCGTCCCTATTTTATTGGCACAACACCTAAGCGGACAGATATTCTGCTTCGGCCGACAAAACGTCACCCCCCGACCATCTCCGGATGCGCGCCCCTCTCACCCCCTCCGGCCCCGATTTTTCCTCTCGTTTTTTTTCACGATCTTCTGCCTTTTGTCGAGCGCGACGCGTCTCTATCTCTCCGGCCGTGCCACGGCGACCGGGCTACGCGCATGCACGGCGAGGATAAAATTTTCCACGAGGCGGAGGGCGGAGCGGAAGGAGAGAAATATTCGAAGCTCGCTTTGTCATCGAGACCAGCGATCGCACAAAGCCGCGCGCGTGCACGCTAGTTGCGAAATGTCGTTACATACCTGGCCATGGCCGCTCGTTACACGGACGACGCTGCAAATAATAGAGCGAAGGACCGAACAATGCCCGAACAATGTATTTATTTTAACAATCGAGCGGCCCGGCGCGGCCGTTTATTCGCGACCCTTCGCGCCGCCACCCTCGCTCGCACCCTCGCCATCGTTCACCCTCGTCGTCGCGTAAACCACTCGAAATAAGCGCGATTGCAGGCCCGTCCTCGTCCGTATCGTCGAAACGGGTTGACCGTTCGTCGAAACAGATTTACAGGAATAACGTGGGACAATAGGGGTTGAGAGGGTGGAACCTCTTGACGCGATCGAAATTGCCGGGACACGAGTCGATTCTGGTACACACCAGCCCGGCAACGATTCGCCAAGCTTGATCGTGTGGTCATCGGCCGAGGTAAGATCGTTAAATCTCGTCGGCAACTTCGCGAAGCTGGGCTTCTCTTAAACCGGCGGTTTCCCCGAGGCGAAGAAGCGACGGAGAAGCGATTTTAATAGCGTGTACCCGTTAACCGAGACTAGGTTGGAATAATAAATCGCGGGAAATACCGCGGACAATTGCAAATTGGTACAAACGAGAGGGATTGTTATGAGGGGGGAAAGAATAAAGGCGGGAGAGGGGGGCACGGATGGGTAGGGTGCGGTAATAGGTGGCGGAAGAGAGAAAGAGTCCATTATATATCGCGCGAATATTCATCTTGAAAGTTAACGAACGCGGAGTAGCGTCTCGTTAACGAACAGGAAAACTCCTCTGGTCCAGGCCGGTTCGCCTGACTGAAAAGAAAATATCCTCCTCCTTTTCTCCTCCATCGGCCACCTTCCTCTCCACCTTCTCCCTTTTCCACCTTTTCTCCACCTCTCTCTCTCTCCCACGCCCTTCCTTTTTTCAGTGGCTCGAACGTTCACAAAGCGTGTCATTAGTATAACTTTTTTACGACGGGCTGTGACAAGCTGCAACGACGAGAACCGGATTTTTATATTCGGTTAAAATAACGAAGTTCCGGCGCGAGCCGACAACGCGAGAGTTCGCGATCGCGATCCCCGATGTTGCTCCTCGTCGATGAAACGACGACGGGGGCGACGCCATTCGCCCCGATTTTTCGCGATTATTCGCGATCTCTCTCGGAGGGGACGGAAGGAACGCGCGGAAAAATTGAAAAATTAACCGTGGACAATCGACGGTTACGAAAGCACGAATTATCGATCCATCGCGAGACACGCACGTCTGCTTTCCTGCGTCCGACCACCCGTCCACCCTCCCCCTTTTTCAAGCCTCTAAAGTCAAGCCGGCATGCTCGATTGGCGGCGTGATCGATCGATCGGGAAACCCTCGCGAATCACTCTCGACTCTCCTCGCCTTTGACGAGGAATAAGAAAAATAATAGAACGCCCGATCGGGGCAAAATAACCGCGAACGATATCGTTGCTGCGCGTTCCACCCTCTTGGTCACCCTTTCCTGCTCCCGCGCTCTGCCACTCTCGCACCCATCGATCCGACGAATTCGATTTCGAGATTTAGCCTGGAGAAAAAAATATCAAGGACGAAAACGCGACGCCTGGTAATAGCCCGGTATATCGGCCGACACCCTTCTCCCGGCAGCCTCCAACGTTGACGAGTGATATTTTCATCGCTGGTCGAGTGACAACGTTCGAGAGGAGATTAATCACCGACGCGTTAAAATGAATTTTTTTCCTAAAATATGTGGCACGATGGCACGTGGGCCCGTGTGTAGGCGTTATAAAGTTCGTTTATTGGCACCGGGCCTCCTCCACTCCCCCCCGGCCCCGTCGTTCCCCGTACGCTCGTTACACCGTTCGACCTCTGCGCGATAAGTCATCGGTTGACAAGTAATATTTTTATCGTTTCTGAGAGTGGCATTGTTCGAAAGATGATTAATCGTTCCTCGTCCGAGATTGTTATCGATGGGGGGCACTTGGGCGCGTTCCGATCGCGATTTAATCGCGACTCCACCGTCAGGCTTGATCGCCGAGCCTGGTAAATACGTTGGGGTAAATAATCAAATCTCGAGGAACAAACGTATCGAGAATATTAATCGAACTGCACGCTAACGGAGCCGTTTCTACCGATTTGTTCCAGGGGAATATTGCAGCAGGGCAGAAAGAATTACGAGGAGGCGATTCTGAGTTATCAGCGAGCGATCCATTTCCGGCCTTCGTTAGCTCGTAAGTATTTCCATTATTTCCCGAGCAACGTTCGCAGCGAGAGAGGCGATCGAGTTTCCAATGGTACTCTCGAGTTTCGCGATTTTTTCCACAGACGCGTTTTCCTCGTCGAGGCTACCCTTCGGCCGAAGGGTCGGCGGAGGCGGGGCGTGCGCGGGTGGAAATCGATGTTAATGCTCTGGGACTCGAATTAGCGAAATGTAATTTGACGCAGCCGGCGTGTACCATTAATGAACCGCGGTCGCAAGTTATCGCAGTTCATTAGGGCACCGAAGCGGCAATTCTCGCGTGAAAAATAGAACGACTCTTCGCGTCTCACCCTGTTCAAGCCGCGAAAGAACCCTGTCGAGCTCTGCGCAGTCCGTGAGAACCTGTTCGCCCCGTGTGCGCGTTTAACGAGAGTTCTTCTCGCCGAACGGCCGTTACTTTTGCCACGCGCGTACCGCGCAGGATTTCATTTTCGAGTCATCTAATCCGCTCTGTACAAAGTGCTCGTCGGGTGGTCACCGTCCGATTCCCGTCGCTCTAACCTAACCATCCACGAGATCCACGAGACTCTCGCTGCGATCTCGTTAGATCGAAACTGTATATACCGCGAACATCCCCTGCGAACGCGTGGCGCGATTCGTCGCGTGGAAAATTGACCTTCGACCCGTCGATAAGCCGCGCGGAACGTCACGGTGGAGACTCGGCCGAGAAAACTCGTATTTGTTCTCCTTTACTCGCGTAATCGCGCGTACTCGAGAACTCCGGCGAAAATGTGCAGGATGGCGGAAAGAGGACGGCTTTCGTGGCGGCTCGAGGGGGAAAAAGTCAGGTCGGACCTGATGGTGTTTGCCGTATACTCGCCGAGATATTTACCTCGCAGCTCGCCGATATACTGTTTCCGGTTAAATCGCGGCCCAGAGTCGCCGGCTTTCGTCCACGTATCCCCGGCTACGTAAATATTATTCCTATTTATTTCGCGGCGGTTTGCGGTGACCGTTGTACGACTTTTCTGATACGGTATTAAGCCCGGCGAAATACCTTCTGAAAATATCAACAACCCGCACCCAGACCCCCGAATACCGTCGCCACGACGTCGTCCGCCATTCCTACGATCCTTCGAACGCGAACCATCGCCGTCGATCGTTCCACGCACGCGATCCGATTCCTCGCTACCCTCTTGCTACCCTCTCGCTAGCTACCCTCCACCCTTATCGTGCTCGTTAGCCCGTGAAAGCCAGAAATTCCTCGTGTCATAGGATCCCCTCCCGTTCGCTCTTCTCATTGTTGGAAAACAATATCCGCACAATCAGCGGGAATTTTTTGCCAGCGTTCCGCGCGCAAAATCCACGTACACGCGGTAGGCGTAACCGCAGCGGCGGCGGGCCGGGGGATCGGTTCGGTTCCTTAACGAGCCACCTTTTGCCCAGGGGAGCGAACCGGCTAGAACGGAGGCGTGGGGTCGGAAAGAACAGAGCGGCCGTCGTTTGTCACGTGGACCGTACGATCCACGTACGACGATTTACTTCGACCGTCCTGGGAACGGTTCATTACCGAGCAAATGCTCCGGCCGGCCGCGATATCGATCTTATTTTACGCTTTCCACTTGCCCGAGCTATTTATTATTGCATCCCGGCGACTCGACCGTGCCCCAGCCGCCAGCTCCGACGCTCGTCTGTCGCTCGTTAACGGTCACGCCGCGCTAAGCCCGCGACACCCTCGCCGTTCTTCCGTTTAGGGGCTCAATTACGAGCTTGCAACGCGGTAGCTGCAGGTCCACCGGTTTAATAACTATCGAGTTCGAATTTATTTTCACCCGGTTCCGCTTCGCCCGTTCGTTCCCCCTCGTTCGCTCGTTTGTTCGAACAGGCGTTAGATTATCGTGGGATTCGAAACGATCGTCGCCTCGGATCCCGAGACCGTCGTAAAGCCACCGGCTTTCTTCGGAACAAAGAGAATCGGCCGATACGTCTCGAGGATGGATCCCTTGGAGGCAATTCCGTCGACTCGAAGTCTCGCGGTCGTCTAGCAAAGGGATGCAAAAAAGCAAGAGGGGGTAGCGTCGTTCCCGGCGAGATCGATTTTAAGCGTTTAGTCGGAGTTATTTCGAAGGCATCTCGAACTTAGTTTCCGGCGCAACGAGCTTGCTGCCCGGTAATAGAGGGTGGAAGAGGGTAGCCGGAATCATTTAATCAACCGGTTGTTCCATCGAGAACGCTCGGGTTACGCCGGCGAGCGGGGGCGCGGGGAACTTGGAAATTCAATCAGTCCGGTCCGTGTAGGCAAAATATATATATATATATATATACATTCGCGAGATAATTCGCTCGTTATTATTCAAAGGGAATGAAATCTTCGCGCTTTTAATCCCTCTGCTCCTCCTCCCTCTGTTTCAGCCCCGGTTCTTCCTCGCCGCGTCTCGGAACTTTCAAAACGCCGGTTCGTTTCGACGTAACTAGTTTTCGGAATAAATCAGCGTGCCACTCGTCTCGTTAAAAACGAAACGGAACGCCAGCCTCGGCTGTTGGCGTGATTTTTAAGCGAGAGAAAGAGGAGCGAGCGCGAGTTATATCCAGCCGTGCATTATTTTTACGCGAGGGAAAAGCCGCTTTATCAATGCTGTTTACACGGTGAATTTTCGCGGAACAATTATAACGCGATTCCGTCGAGCAAAATATGTCGGGCTCCGCGGAAAGCCTGGCCACGAGAGGCGAAAGCATTTCGCTGTCCGCTTCCCTCCCTCGCCCTCTGTCGCCCTCTCTGCCGGCGCATTTGCATCTATAAACGAACTAGTTGGCAAGCGTATAAAGCAACCACGCAAGAATATCGTCCAACGCTTGCTCGTCAGATTCCATCTTCGCCCCCCCGACTAATTATCTGCTTCCCTGACCCGCTCGTGCGCCCGCTTCCGGTCACTTATCCTGCGCCGTTCGTGCGTTATCGTCGCGATTCGACGTCCGTGCGCTATCGGTTATCTCGGCCCACACCCGACGCGCTTGCAACCGAGTTTCCAACTTTCCTCCGAGATCCACGCTTTCCAGGCCCGAATGCGCGTTGACGCTGATTTACTTTGTAATTAGCCGCCGAAGTTACGTCGATTAAGGCGCAGCAAGTTGTACGTGACAAAGAAAGCACCTCGATTCGAGCCCCCTACACCCTCGGCTAAAGGATTTCCGATGTTCGACTGGCGTAAGATCGAGTCCCAAGCTCGATGGTCCCCGTTAATTCGGTTTAACTCTTTGTGGCACGGGATTTCGGATAATAAAATGGTTCCGTGTTGCGTAGAAATTTTATCGCGTTTCAAATGAAACAAGATTGGTATGTTTTTACTAATATAGGAATCGCATAATGCAAAAACATAAAACCAGGAAAATAGGATTAGTATATAAATAAACCTTCCGCTTGCAACAATTGACGAATCTGTACTGACGCGTTGAATGTTGCCAACGCGAGAGAATACATTTATAACGTTTGTCGAAGGTATTACCAGCTGCTTTACGTAAATAAAACGAAATATAAACCTACGCGCATGCAGCTACTGCGATATTTCCAGGTGAGACTAAAAATATCGCATCTTGCGTTACGGTGCATCAAAAAGGTGGGACACTATTAACCCTTTCGTTACAGAAAAATAGTAATTCGAAGGCTTTCTGTCATAATGTTGACGATATTTTTAAAACGGTAAATAAGAAATTATTTTAGAATTATTTTTCATTCCACGCATCGGCCCTGAAAGAATGTCAAGTGTGTTTAGGCTTAGAATAAAAGTAGCCGCGTGCAAGAGGATCGAATGTAAGGGATGTTTATGACAGAGCCGAATGCAAGTGAAGAGCGAATACCTAGGAATGCGTCTGAATATTTAGGATACTTGACCCACCGATGGAGAAAGGGAACATGATTATGAAAGAAGACAGAGAGCAAAGTTTAAATAAGAATGCGAGAACGCACAAGCTTCAGTGTGTGTTTTAGAGTCAGTCGTAGAGAGACAGCGAGTGAGAGTCAACCGACAGTTATTAACGCTTAGAATAACTTTTAGTTTAAAATAAATTATTTTTATATTTACGTCACTGCTCATTCCGTTGCCTAGTCAACATTCTTACGATAATAAATTTAAAATATAAAGGTAAATCCACTGCGTGTAATTTACCCCTAACAACACGTCCAACAATAAGTTTTAGTTTAGAATAAATCATTTTTATATTTACATCACTGCTCATTCCGTTGCCCACCCAACATTCTTACGATAATAAATTTAAAATATAAAGGTAAACCTACTGCGCGAAATTTACCCCTAATAATACATCCAACAATAAGTTTTAGTTTAGAATAAATCATTTTTATATTAACATCACTGCTCATTCCGTTGCCTACCCAACATTCTTACGATAATAAATTTTAAATATAAAGGTAAATCCACTACGTGTAATTTACCCCTATTGTTGGAGGACTGTTTAGTCATGTGTAAATATTGACCTATGTGCATAAGAGAAACTCCAGACCGGCTAACTTTCCCTTTTTATCCCTTACTCATCCTTATCGCCCTATTGCTCACTCAAATTCCGACCTTCCCTGCATCATCCTTTCTTAACCTTCGATCTGTGGACAACCCCCTCTTATTTCCTAATTCACATATAAATATTGCCCATCATCCCAAATGCCCAGTCAGTCTTCCGCCTAGTAGTAGATTGGTGTCACGTTTGCTAAAAGATCTGATCTGGTACGTACTCGGCCGTACTATTGTTACACTCAAGTTCGTCTGTTAGTTGTAACAAAAATAAAGATATGTGGGGGTCCTCTCCCACTATCACTTAACGTCGGCTGTGGCAACATCCTCGGTGGTAGGTAGCTAGAAGGGACGGTTGGAAAAAGGAAGGGTTGCGTTTCGTCCCGGGCCTGCTAGCGGACTCATCGGTAAGGCTTGCTTAGCAGGCCCTGCCTTAGACACTGGGGATACTATTGGAAAGACGGGAAGTTATATATATAGGACTGGGAGTTTCCCGAGGACTTGCGGGAAA